CCTGTCGCACCAGACTGTCCCCTGGCACCACCGTCTTGGTCACCCCTCAGTGCAGCGCCTTCGTGGCATGCACTCCTGGTACCTCGTCTTCGGTCTTCCCAGGTTTCTCCCTCCCCTCCCACCCTCGCCTACTCCTCCCTGTCTTCCCTGTGTCGAGGGGCGGCAGCGCGCCAGCCCTCACTCCTCCTCGTTCCCTCCCACAGAGGCTCCCCTGCAGACTCTCCACCTGGACGTGTGGGGCCCAGCCCGCGTCCGTGGATAGGGCGATGGTGGTACTTCCTGCTGGTCGATGACGACTACACGCGCTACACCACGGTCTTCCCCTTGCGCACCAAGGGTGAGGTCCCTGATGTTTTGATCCCTTGGATCCGCGCTGCTCGTCTCCAGCTCCGCCAGCGGTTCCAGTCAGACTTTACTGTCTTGCGTCTGCACTCTGACAGGGGTGGTGAGTTTTCCTCCGACCTCTTGACAGCCTACTGTGCGGAGCACGGCATTCGCTAGACGTTCACGCTTCCGGCCTCTCCACAGCAGAATGGGGTTGTTGAGCGCCGCATTGGCTTAGTCATGGAGGTCGCTCGTACCTCCATGATCCATGCGGCTGCCCCCCATTTCCGGTGGCCGTTTGCAGTGCAGTACGCTGCGCATCAGCTCAACCTCTGGCCCCGTGTCTCTGCTCCGGAGACCTCGCCGACACTGCGTTGGACGGGGGAGGTTGGCGATGCGTCCGTGTTTCGGGTCTGGGGATGTCGAGCCTTTGTCCGCGATATGTCCGCGGACAAGCTCTCCTCCCGTGCTGTTCCCTGTGTCTTCCTTGGCTTTGTCCGTGACGCGTCTGGCTGGCAGTTTTACCACCCAACCTCGCATCGTGTCTTCCCCTCTGAGGACGTCACTTTTGATGAGATGGTACCCTTTTACCGTCTGTTCCCCTACCGCACTGCACCGCTCCCCCCCCCCGCCGCTCTTCCTCACCCATGGTGTCCCTTTGGTAGACCCCCTCCCTCCCCAGGGTCTTGCTCCCTCAGGTGTTTCCCAGGAAGACCCGGTCAAGCCTGTCGAGGTAGTTGTCGACTCTGGTCCTGCGAGGGGTATTGCGTCTGGGGGTGCTGAGCCTGAGGGTGCTGAGACTGGGGGTGCTGAGATTGGGGGTGCTGGGACTGGGGGTGCTGAGCCTGGGGGTGCTGAGACTTGGGGTGCTGAGCCTGGGGGTGCTGAGCCTGGGGGTGTTGAGCCCGGGGGAGCTGCGAGTGACCGTGCTGAGCCTGGAGGCGCTCCCTCTTCACAACAGCTGCGTGAGTGGTACTCTCAGCGTTGCAGCCTCCGGCGTGGGACTGCTGGAGCTGGGGGTTCTGCCGGAGTTGGAGCTGGTGGTGCTGCGGGTGCTGTGTCAGCACTGGCTCGAGAGTTGTAGCAGCGTGGTTAGCTTCGTCTGCGTTACGTGGCCACTCGGGACAATACTGCTGATATATTCACGAAGGCTCTTCAGTTTGGTGATCATCAGCACTTCTGCACTGTGCTAGGGCTTGTGCCCACTTCTCCTCACTTGTTGTAGGCTTTACTTGTACTGAAATCTATATATATATACCTGCATGCTTACTTTGCTAGGTGGAGATCACTGTGCTGTTTGTGCTACATATATGCATCTGCATGTGAACTGGCCTTGTGGCTCTTTGCTTGCACTCAGTGTGTGTGGTGACGTTGTGATCCACCTTCAGCCTGCTTTGCCTTTCTTGACTGGTCTTGTGACCCCTTGCTCTCCCCCACTTTGCCTAAGGGGGTGTGTCAAATGTCATATCTGCTATAGTTTGTTTAGGCTTTAGTGGGGTAGTCACTATGGGGTACAGTAAGTTTAGGGTTTCCTACTTGTATCCAACTTTTTCCTAGTCCAATCACTCTTGTTCATTCTGACTGTGCGCGGTCAATGGAATGTGAAGAAATGAGGAATGATGAACTAGGAAATGAGTTGGGTACAAATATGAAACCCTAGAAAACAGTACCCCATACTATCTACCCCACTACAGCCTAGAAAGACTATAGCATATAAGTTTGACACACCCCCATAGGCAAAGTGGGGGAGAACAAGGGGTCACAAGACCAGTCAAGCAAAGCACAGCAAGCTCAGGGTGGATCTCAACGTCACCACACATTCCGAGCACAAGTTCAAAGGCCACAAGGCCAGTTCACATGCAGGATCATATATATATCTATATATATATATATAAAGCTTAACATGCAAATGCAGGTACATATAGATCAAAGTACAAGCAAGGTCAAGAAGTGAGCAAGTGAGGCAAAGTAGGCACAAGACCTAACAGAGTACAGAAGCGCTGATGATCACAAGGCGGGAGTGCCTTGGTAAATATATCAGCAGAGTTGGCCTGAGAGGCCACGTAAGCAAGTCGCAGCTGACCACGCTGCTGCACCTCACGAGCAAGAAAGTAGCGAAGAGCAATATGCTTCGTTCTATGCTCCAGTCTGTGCTCCTAACACAAGGCCAGCATGGCCTTGTTGTCTACGTACAGAACTGGAGGAGAACGAGGCGGCTCTCCAAGGTAAGTCAGCAGGTAGGTGAGCCAGCGTAACTCCTGTGCAGCCATGGCCCCTGCGTAGATCTCAGCCTCACAGCTGGAGCTGAGAACAGAAGACGAGCGGGTAGACCGCCACGAAACAGAACCGGAACCAAGGCTGAAGGTGTAACCCTGTGACGACCGCTGAGTAGCCTGGTCGTCCACCCAAGAAGCGTCTGGATGACCAGTTTGGACCATTGGACTCCGCTCTCCAAGCACTAGCCCCATGCCCGACGTACTTCACAAGTAGCGCAACACCCTCTTCGCTGCAACCATGTGCTCGGGTCTGTGTCTCCCAGGAGCAACATAGCGTGCCAGAATGCTAAGAGGGTATGCAAGGTCAGGTCGAGTGCAGGTCATCAGGTACATGAGGCAGCCAACAAGCTCTGGGTACGGGCCACTCGACTCTACGGACTCATCCGAAGGCAGAGCTGAGAGCGAGTGGCGAGTAGACATAGGAGTGGCCTGAGGCATGGAGTACGTGAAACCGAAGCGCTGAAGGACCTGCTGCACCATGTGTGACTGAGTCAGGGTAATGGTGTGATGTGCTCTGTCCCGAGTGATCTGAAAGCCAAGGTAGCTACGCAGTTCACCCAGGTCTGTGCACGTGTGTCTCTTCTGCAGCTCGGACTTCACGTGGGCGAGTCCAGCAGTGTCAGCTGAGGCAAAGACCACATCGTCGACGTACACGAGGATGTAGAACGGCGGCAAGGAGGTGTCGGTGCGCAGAAACAGCGACGGGTCAGCAGTAGAAGGAGCAAACCCAAGAGCCGCAATTGTAGTCCTCAGTGTGTTGTGCCACTCACGGGCCGCGTGGCGGAGACCGTAGACTGGACGCCGGAGGCTCCACTGGGTGCCAGAGGAAAAGACCCAGTGAAGCCAGGTGGGTGGCGCAGCCAGATCTCCTCGTGCATGCTGCCCTGTAGGAAAGCAGGGCTGAAGTCAAGAGACTGAAGCTCGTAGTCGCGCTGAGCGGCTATGTGCAGCAGCACCCGAAGAGTGGTCATCTTCGGGGTGGGAGAGAAGGTCTGAAAGTAGTCAACTCGCTGAACGCGCCACGTAACGCGCCTTGAAGACAGGCGGAGAACCCGGCGGTCGCTTCACCCTAAAAATCCACATGCCACTGACAATGTTCGCCCCAGGTGGGGGAACCTCGTCGACGTAGGTGCTTGTGGACTTCCAGGAAGCCATCTCTGCGTCCATGGCTGCCTGCCACCGAGATTAGTAGGGACCCTCTATCGCCTCTACGTAAGAGCGCGGAGTCAGGGTGTCTGGTGCATCCGGGTCTCCCTCAGGCGCAAGTAGCATGGACACGAGATGGGGTGAAGCAGCAGCAAAACACTGGAACTCCTCCTGCATGTCCTCAAGGACGTCCGTGCCAAGAGCACACTCACCCTCGACGGACGGAGGACAGACAGACTCAGACTCAGCGACAAGACTAGCAGCGTAGTCTAGACGACAGCGAGCAGCAAAGTCGACAAGCTCAGCAACTAAGGCAGACGCAACAGCGGACTCAAAGGAAGGGTCAGTGACGACAGTAGCAAGGAGACAGTAGGACTGGCAGCACGAAGGGAGTCCGACTCCGGGTCAGCAAGAGCAGGAAGAGAGGACTCGGGAGGAGAAGGCAAAGGGGCACGCAGTGGAGCAGTGGAAGGACGTAGAGACATCCGGTGCGTGCCGGGGACAGGGGGAGGTTGCTGACGCGAACCACGACCACTAGTGCGAGCAGCACAGACAGGCGACGCAGGACGAGACCCAGGCTCAGGACGCTCAGCAAGACCTCCAGTAGGACCAGTGTAGGGAGAAGGAGCAGGCAGTGGGGAGGCTGGCTGTAACAATGACTCGGACTGGACAACACCCGCAGGCCCAGCAGCTCCAGGATCCTCAGGACGAGCACCTCTGGGACCCGCGGCACCATCACCCTCAGCAGTAGTAGAACCTCCAACACCAGCAGCACCTCCAGCTCCAGCAGCACGGCTCCAGCGCCGAGCAAACCACTCGCGCACCTCCTGTGGAGAGAGTAGCTCCCGCCGCGTCGAAGCACCCGAAGGACCTCCAGGCCTAGTCCCGCTAGACGCCACACGAGCAGGCCCAGCACCCTCAGGCTCCGCACCCCCAGGCTAAGCACCCCCAGTCTCGGAACCCCTAGGCTCAGCACCCCCAGTCTCAGCACCCCCAGGCTCAGCACCCCCAGAGACAGCACCCCCAGGCTCAACACCCCCAGACCCCGCACCCGCAAGCTCAGCACCCCTAGCAGCACCGAAGTCAACAGCTACCTCGACAGGCTCGACTGCGTCTACCTGGGACACACTTGAGGTGGCAGGACCCTGAGGGGGAAGGGGGTCTATCGGGGGTGGACCTGGCGCAAAGAAGAGCGGCGGCGGGGGGAGGGGCGCAGTGCGGTAGGGGAAGAGACGGTAGTAGGGAACCGACTAGTCAAACGTGACGTCCTGGGAGGACAGAACACCGCGCGAGGTGGGGTGGTAGAACTGCTAACCTGGGCGCGTCAGGGGGGGAGCCAAGGAAGACGCAGGGAACAGCACGGGGGGATAGCTTGTCCGCAGACAAGTCGCGGACAAACGCCCGAGATCCCCAGACAAGGAACGCAGACGCATCGCCAACCTTCCACGTCCACAGCAAAGCAGGGGATGTCTCCGGCATGGAGACCCGGGGCTGATGGTTGATCTGATGCGCCGCGTACCGAACCGCAAACGGCCACAGAAAATGGGGGGCAGCCGCATGGACCATGGACGTACGAGCGACGTCCATGACCATGCCAATGCGGCACTCAGCAATCCCATTTTGCTGTGGAGAGTCCAGAAGCGTGAAGGTCTGGCGGATGCCTCGTGCACGACAGAAGCCTCGCAGAAGGTCAGAGGAGAACTCTCCGCCTGTGTCGGAGTGCAGACGCTGAACAGGAAAGTCCGAGCCGAAACTCTCTCTGAGCAGGAGACGAGCTGCGCGGATCCAGTCGATCAACACCCCAGTGACCTCACCCTTGCTGCGCAAGGGGAAGACTGTGGTGTAACGCGAGTAGTCGTCAACCACCAGCAAGAAGTAACGCTCGTGACCTTGTCCACGGACGCGGGCTAGGCCCCACACGTCCATGTGAAGCGTCTGCAGTGGAGCCTCTGTCGCAGGAAACTCGGAGGAGTGAGGAGCAGCGCGCTGCCGCCCCTCGACGCAGGGAACGCAGGTAGGGGCAGGCCCCGGAGGAAGAGGAGGGAGGGACCGGGGGAGACCAGAGACAAGGACACGGGAGGCCATGCCTCGGAGACGAGGCAGGGAGGGGTGACCAAGGCGGTGGTGCCAGAGAAGATTCTGGTGAGACAAGAGACGACACGAGCAGGGGGCAGACGCAGAACCAGACCTGGACGCCGCAGCAGACACCTGACCCACGCAACTACCTGACGAGACGCAGCAACCGGAGGAGAATCAGTAGTCAGTGTGTACAGGCTCGACCCCGGTCGACGGATAAACGTGGTGAAGTGTCGGCCCGTCCGAGCACACGTGCAGTGGGTCACTCGCTGACTCGCAGGAGTGAACTGGTCAACCCCCCTATCCTGTAGATCAGCACCACTCACCAAGTTCGTAGAGAACGAGGGGAGGTAAAGACCTGACTGGGTGCCAGAGGGGGCCGCCGGACACGGTAAGACAGTGGAGAAGTGGGCAAGGACAGGACCCCCAGAGGGGTCTGCCAGGGAGACCGCAACTGGCCGACTAAGCGGCGTAAGTGTGGTGCGGTCTCGAAAGAAGGAGCGGGAAGCACCCGCGTCAAGGGTGAAGGTGTGGGAGGCCTGAGCCGACGTGGTACCCGAGAGAGCAGACTCACCAGCACCTGGGGGAGCAGGCTCACTAGCACCTAGAGCAGCAGCCTCACCAGCACTTAGAGCAGCAGCTTCACCAGCACCTAGAGCATCAGTCCCAATGCCCGGGTTAGGCGGAACACACAGGTAACAGTCACCCTCATCACTAGTAGACACAGCATACATGGCAGCAAGAATAGTGTCATAATCAAGATCAAATATAGCAACCCCCGCCCTCAGTGGCGTCAAGGAACTGGAGACGCCAAGAGTCCGTCAGGCGGCCGAAGCAGCGCTGGGTGGAGTGCGGGTCCCCACACTGCTCACTAGTGCAGACGCCGGTACGCAGGACGTAGGTACAGGGACCAGCACCCCCACCCCGCTGACGCGCAGCGTACCACTCACGAATCTGCTGGGGGGGCGGGGTCTCACGAGTGCGCTGCTGCTGCTGGCGCTGACCACCACCGGAGCCGCCCCTCTGCGCAGAGCCGCCCCGACCAGCTCCACCGCTTCCGCCGCCACCTCCGCCACCGCTGCCACCGCCTCCTCCTCTGCTCCCACCGCCACCGCCGCCGCCTCCTCCGCCTCCACTGCCGCCACCGACGCCCCCACCCCCGCCACCACTCCCACCACCACCCCCACCCCCTCCACCACCTCCACCGCCACCTCCACCGCCCCCGCCAGCTCCTCCAGCGCCCTTGCCCCCCTTGCCTTTGCCGGTGTGGCGTCTCCCGCTAGGGGCAGACGCAACTCCGACCGACTCGAGGCCAACGAGGTCGGCCGCAGCAGCAGAGGCAACAGAGGGCAAGAGGGCGGAGGGGGAACACCCCTCAAAGAAGGGGGTACGAGGGTCACCACGAGAGGCTCCTACAGCGACTATAGACTTCTCTGCTGCCAGGAGGCGCTCCTCTAGGAGGTCAACAGTGAGTGTGGTGTTGCAAAGAGAGAGGAAGTGGTCCCTGACGGAGCGAAGGAAGTCGGGGAGCCGGGTGACTACGTAGTAGAGGGTTATGTACATGGAGGGGGGTTCTTGGCGCAGAACTCAGCAGGAAGTGCAGCGCGGTAGCGTGCGTCACTACTGCGAAGTGCGTAATGAGGTCAGCGACTGTGGGAAAGGCGGCGAGGTCAAGGAACAGGTACTGCAGCATGAGGCGACTAAGAGCAGCAGTGGCAGGGGAAGAGTAGCGGGCAACTACAGCGTCGTACGGGGTCTTAGCACTGTTGTACTGTAAAGTGCGCGCGCTCAGAGGAGGGCAAGTGCCTACTCACAGCAAGACGAGCAGCAGCATCACGCATGGCCCACTGTGAGCGAACAGTGCTGTCAGCATCGGCAGGAGGGGCAGGAGAGGCACCAGACGTGAGATCGAACAGGGAGAGACCGTCTGTCCTATCGCACTGTAGGAAAAGTTGCAGATCATCGACCCATACCTCAAAGTCGACAGCCCGACCCTCAGCATCAAAGGTAAGAACATTGGGGGTAGCCATGACAGCAGCAGGCTAGCAGTGAGAGCAGCAGACTAGGGGCAGCGCAGTGGCAGAGGCGCTGCTCGGGTGTGCTCTTACCAGGGCGGGTGGGTGGGGCCGAGGCGCGCCGGCAGGGACAGGGCCGCGACTGAAGCGGCGGCGTGCCTCGGCTGCGGCGGCGGCGGCAGCTGCGGCTGCGGCTCGACGGCGGCGGCGGCTCGACGGCCACGGCGGCTCGACGGCGGCGGCGGCTGCTACTGACGGCCGCGGCGGCGGCTGCGGCTCGACGGCGGCGGCGGCAGCAGCTTGACGGCGGCGGCGGCTGCTACTGACGGCGGCAGCGGCTGCGGCGGCGGCAGGGCCGGGGCAACAGCGGCGGCGGCAACGGCGGCTGTCGGCAGCGGCTGCAGAGGTAGCGGCAGCGGCTGCTGCGGTCGGCGGCGGCGGCCGCTGCTGTTGCTGGGGCCGGGGAGGGGCCGCGAAGGGGCCGTGAAGGGCGGCGACGGGGCCGAGAAGGGGCCGCGAGGGGCCGCAAAGGGTCCGTGAAGGGGCCGCAAAGGGCGGCGACGCGGCCGAGAAGGGCGGCGACGGGGCCGGTAAGGGCGGCGACGGGGCCGTGAAGGGGCCGCGAAGGGCAGCGACAGGACCGCTAAGGGCGGCAACGGGGCCGCTAAGGACAGCAACGGGGCCGCGAAGGGCGGCGACGGGGCCGCGAAGGGTGGCGACGGGGCCGCGTAGGGCGGCGACGGGGCCGCAAAGGGCGGCGACGGGGCCGTGAAGGGCGGCGACGGGGCCGCTAAGGGCGGCGATGGAGCCGCTAAGGGAGGCGACGAGGCCGCTAAGGGCGGCGACGGGGTCGCGGAGGGCGGCGACGGGGCCGCGAAGGGGCCGCGAGTGGCTGCGAAGGGCGGCAACGGGGCCGCAAAGGGGCCGCGAGGGGCCGTGAGAGGGGCCGCTAAGGGGGGCGCGACGGGCCGCTAGGGGCAGGGGAAGCGACTGGAGGGCGGCCCACGGGGCGCGCCTCGGACAGGGGCGACGCGCACTCCGGGCAGGAAAAAAAAAAATCGATTTTGGTGGGCCCTAGGAAAAGTTCCCACTAGAGAACCTGCTCTATACCATGTGAAGAAATGAGGAATGATGAACTAGGAAATGAGTTGGGTACAAATATGAAATCCTAGAAAACTGAACCCCATACTGTCTACCCCACTACAGCCTAGAAAGACTAGCATATAAGTTTGCGCACCACCGCATTTCCAAGCCCTCCCACACCTCTTCTTCCCTAGACTACTAGACCCCCCATAAAAGCGTGTTCGAAGTACCTGCATTTCTAGACGTTGAGGGATGTCGGTGAATGTCAACCATCCGATCTACGGTTCCAACCGTCAGGATTCACCGACGTACTTCTACGTCGAACTGGTGCAGTACTTCGAACACGCTATAACCCCTCCCCCGTTCCCCCTTCCCCCTTAGCGCCCCGCAGCTCCCGAAACTTCGCGATTGGAGTCCCCGAAGTTCCTGCTAGGCTCTTTCAGCCCCGTCGTCCCTTCTATTTTTTCACACACAAGCAGCCTCATTTTCGACACCCGACTAGGTTTGGAGGCGCTCGCGCTGCGGTTTCTCACTTTGACTGGAGAGATGGACGCGTCGGCCACCTCGTGCGACTCGATTCTGCGTTGCGCTGGATTGAGTATCCGCGACGTCGCCGAATGGAGGGAGCACGCACACGCGCCGCTCTGCCTGAGCCAGCTGCTGTGCCAGCTGAGTCAAGGCAACGCGACCTGCCGTTGCGCCAGCTATTTAACACCTCCTGCAAAACGCTTAATATCATCCCGTTCCATACAGCGCCAAAAGCTCATTCTTTCTCCTAGCAGCCAACACACTCTGACCTGCGTAGTTTGAGCGACATGGCCATCCGCGTTACAAGCATCCTCGTGGCTGTTCTCTGCCTTGCCACAGCTGCCTCCAGCTCCTCCATTCCTCGAAACTTCACCGCTTTTCACCGTGACGGACCGCGTCGCGCTCTTCTGCAGACCCCGCCATTCGACCCCGCTGCAGCCCTGGGCGCAGCAGCAGGAGCCATGGCCGGCGCCGTCCAATCAGCAGCCGCCATGTTGGCCAGCACCATCGCGCAAGCTCCTGGCGGGCTCCTATTCCACGACGCGGCGGGAATCTGCCTCGAAGAGGCTCTTCCCGCCTGCGACTTTTACTTCGATCTGCTCGGTCCGCTCGGTCTGCCCTCGCTGCGCTTCCCCGTCGTCTCCGGCGGCGCGCTCGTGCTCTCCCAGCAGAACGGCGATCGTCCCGTGAGCCTCGCCATCGCCACCGGCGTTTCGCCTGTCGCTGGCGCATTCCTTGGGGATAAGAAGGCGAAGAAGGGTGGTTACCAGGTGGAGATTGATGCGACGGGCCCGGCGAAGTATTGCAAGTGCGAGGCGGCGAAGCTGGCGAAAACAGTGGCGCATGCTGGCGATCAGTTCTACGCCACTGGCCAGGTGAGTCCTCTCTGTTCTCCACCCCTCACCCCTCCTCTCTCCCACCTCAATTTCCCACCACCCCCCCGTTCCCCCTCACTTGTTCCTATGAAAACCCCTCCCACCCCTTTCCCTCCCCTCCTTCCCCACCCTTAAATCTTCCTTCCTTCCCACCACCCTTGCTGGCTTATGAATCCTACCTCTCTGTACCCCCCAGACATCTCCTCCTCGATACCCCATCCCCCTGTCTTTCCTTCCTCCATCCTTCCTTCTCCCTTACCATCTCTGCTTCTTCTCGCAGTTTCCCTCACGCCAAACGAATAGTTTTGACTGAAAAGACATCCCAGGACAATAACAGGTTCCAAATTCACATGTGAATCACAATCCGATGTCTGTTCTACTCACAACAGGAAAGTACCCTGAAAGCATACTGGCATGCTCTCCCTGAAACCCCACCCCTGTCCTTCCCCCCTTCTCCCCGCAGCCGGCCAAGGTGTATGCGCGCACGTTTCAGAAGAACCTGCCAGCGTCGGCCTTCAAGGGGTGCTGTGTGCGCCTGCCTCTCACCAGCGTGCAGCTCAAGGCACCCAATGGTGACGTCATCAACCTCAACCAGGGCGACGGCAACAAACAGTTCCCTGAGCCCCGCCGCTGCCTTCTCTTCCACGTGCTCACTGTGTGATGGTGATGTTGATAGGCAGTTATTTAGTTTCATTCCCTAGTGTGGAGTGGCATCACAGAATAGAGTGCAGATGGAGAATTAATTCGCTAGATTTAGCCTTGGACTAGGTTTTTAAATCCATGAATCTATTTCCACATGGTTTGATCGATAGTGCTTGTTTAGACATAGGTAATCTCCTCCACAATAGAGCTTGATCAGCTCAGTTACAGCATGAGGTCTAGACCATTTGATGGAGTTTTGACAATCACAGTACCATACCAGGCTTCTCAGTCAGCTCACTCCTGAAGCCAATGCTATGGTACTCCCCAAATGCAATATTATTATGGTATGCACAATGTCTGAACAGCGCTTCCTACTAATCAAGCTTCCATCCCGCAAGCAATTTCGCCAGCTACAATACTGATCTGGCTTCAACTCCCCCCCACACCACCACCCCAGCTCCCCATCCCACAGCTAGCAGCACAGTGGATTGGGCGTATTTCACACGCGGGTACCTCGAGGTAGCACCACGCCATGGGCAATGAAGTACAGCCCAACGTACATGCCTTGAATCAAGGTGATTCGAGTCCACTCAAAAGTCAACTGTCCCCATTCACACGCGGGTGCCTCGAGGCAGCAACACACGGTCCACACCATGGGCAATGAAGTACGGCCCAACGTACATGCCGGGAATCACCACCCTGGTCGTTACAATCCCCCTGGATCTAGTGCTAGGGTACGTCCCAAACATCACCACACTGCCGTTCCTGCCGGTCAGCTTGTAGAGAGCCTGTCGCAGCTGAGTCGGCAGCGGCTGGCCTGCCCGCATGGCCTTGATCTTGGGCAGGATGAAACGTTTTGCGATGATGTGATAGGCTGTGACGTTGTAGGCCCTGGGAATGTTCTTGGTTGTGAGAGGAAGCCTCTTGGAAAGCGCCTCTGCTGCTGTGTTGCTGGGAATGAGGAGGGTTGCGTCAGCAAGTGCTGAGAAATTGTACTTGGAGTTCACTGGAGTGGAGGGAAATGGGAAAGGCGAAGGCGAAGGGGAAGGGGAAGGGGAAGGGGAAGGGGAAGGGAAAGGGGAAGGGAGAGGGGAAGGGGAAGGGGAAGGGGAAGGGGTTGAGGTGCAGGATGAAAGCTAGGAAAAAGAGGAAACGAGGAAGTTGATTGAGGGAGAATGAGATAGGGAAAATAATGCAGGGAGGATGAGCGAGGGAGGGTGAGGCAGGGAGGAGGAAGCAGGGAGCAGGGAGCAGGACTGACTGGCGAGGTTGACGTATTTGTTGAAGTCCTTGGAGAACTTGGAGTACTGCGGGTAGCGCTGCAGCAGCCGCTTCGCCATCCGCGACACCTCCGCCTTGATCTGCGCCTTGCTTGGCGGCGGGCGGCGCGCAGCAGACGCGGATGACGCGAGGAGGAGGAGGAGGAAGAGGAGGAGCGGGAGAAGGTGGAAGGCGGCTCGGGAAGACGCAGCCATGGCGAGCAAACGGTTTCACGGTTCGTTAACGCTGGTGAGTGAGATTTGTAAACCTCTTCGTGGAATGCAGAGGAACCAGAACGGAACGTAAAAATGCTCTCTGCTTTAAAGGTGACTGGATAGGACTTTGAGATAAACTCCAGACGAACTGTACTCGATGATTGATTGTCCGAAGATGGATCTTATCGATTTTATACCTCCGAGGCCGTCGATCAAAACCTGTGGAACCCGTGCCTCGAAGCTTCCACGAATTCCAGCCATCAGAAGCAAAGAGACCGCAAAGGACGGTTGGATTTGAACGCCAGGGCCGACTGAAGCGCGAAGAGGCAGTGAGAGCGCAAGGACGCATCGCCACGTACAGCTCGGCGGCGTACGAACGCCACGCACAGAGCCACGTAGCACCGTGCCACGGGAACGCTAAACGACGGGGGTTTCCGAGCGGCTGTGAGCAGCGAGGGAAGGAGCGCTTCCTGGCCGTGATACCGCCCATGGCTTGTCGCCACATGCCTACAGCGCGGTGCTTCTGTACAGTACTACTGTAGGTCCCGGTGCCTACGCGACAGGTAGGGCGCAGTAAAGTGTCGTCAGCCAACCCCACCATACAGATGGATGCACAGAGCGATGGTACAGCAACAGACCACGAAAGTTCGGACCTCGTATCCATTCCAAGTCGAGATCTCGATTCGCTCTCGTGTCGGGACTCGGGATCCGATCGATGGCCAATTGGGTCAGTCTGCTCTCGTCGGGCGGCTCATTCGGACCAATCTGGACCGTCTCGGGAGAGTCAATCTCTGCATAGTCTCTTCAACGTCGAATTGGCGGCGGCTAATCAGCGATGCATAGGTGCGGAACGGCCTAGCTGCCGGTTGGTTCCGTCATACGTGTCGCGATGAAGTCCGTCACCGTCAAGTCCGCCGCCGTCCATTCGAGCAGACGTACCGACAAAGGTCCTTGCGTCCCTCGTCGCGAGTTCTCATCCTTGGTCGGTCGCGGAGAGAGCAGAGTTTGCAGGTATGTGATGCCGCGATGATGGGCTTTGGAATGCAGACAAGGGAGTAGGACAAGGGGGAGGGAGCTTGAACAAATTTGAGAAACACCAAGCCCAGGCAATATTGACGCAAGCGGGTGGTAGTGGTGAGGCAAATGATGGTGGATGGTGGGTTGGGAGTGGTGGTGAGTGATTGACTGTGGTGAGTATGGAGATGATGGGAAGGAGGTTGAACTGTTTCTCCGACCAAGGTTTGATGACGATGCTTTGGAACCAGGGCTGTCGATTCGTTTTGGGCCCCCCGGACAAATCAGGGGGCCCGGCATGTACAACCCTGTATTTAGCAGGTTCGCGGCAAATCTCGGCCCTTTAAGCTTCAGGGCTGGAAAGTTTTCCTCCCTTGAATCAGTTTTGGCACGAAAAAATCTACAGCCTCAAATTAACTACGAAGCTTACAGAACACTCGGCAAGCACTACAGCAAGGCTGAGTGATTTTTTTGCTCAACCACGCAACTCCAAGTTTTCCAGGTTGGATGCAACCACGATAGAAAGGGGGGGGAGAGGGAGTGGAGGATATGGGAGGGAGAACTCAAAAGATTTTGATCCAGGGGATGCCTGAATTATACCCCGACACACCAGGCCTAAGACCGAAATCAGCTCTGTAAGGAATCAGGGCAATAGTTTTCAGTTTTCAGTTTCAGTTTCAGCCCATCAATTTCAGTTTTCAAGGGCAACCCAGCCCTTGAATTCAAGGTCCAGCAGGGCAAACGCCCTGGTAGCGACAGCCCTGTTTGGAACTTTTGAAGCACAGGTTTGTTCGGTGTGTTGCGTTCCAAAGCGGTGAGGTGTAAATTAAAAAACGAATCGATTCTTCTTCACAAGTGAGCTCCATATCGCGTACACAAGTGTTCATCCAGATTGTAAGGAATTTGGATTGTACGCCCTTTTAGCAGTATGTACATTCTGAAGGGCTTGCATGAGCTGATCTCGCCTGTATCACGTGACCTTCCCACCAGCACCAGCCCACTTCCTTCCACCCCACAACACGCCTGTTCACACCGCACCCGTCTCACTCCCTCCAGTTCACTTCCGCCCGTTCACTCCCTCCAGTTCCCATAGCTACCCCTACCCTACGTATTGCCCCTAACGCAGCCTGTCGCACTGAGGAAACACCTTTGCATCGTCGCGTATCAGTCACGTCCGAGCGTAGTTCTCACGCCAGAGACTCTACACTGCCTCGCGATTGAGATTTGCAGGGATTGGCCATGGCGGCTTCAGCAAGTCGCAAACCGCACTCTTGTCAAAGTGCGACTGGAAGTCCGACCTTCCATGTTTCGGACTCGGCAAGTGCAAAGGCCTATAAAATAGACGTTCAGCCTCACCACAATCATCACAGCTTCCGTATTCGCTTCCCCCATTCCCCGTTCGATCGCGCATACCGATCACGAAGGAGCTACTTGCAGCTTCATTTCTCGACTGTGCTTCGCTCTTGAACGATCTTATTGGCGTGCTAACACTGTTTTTTATCGCTGCTACTTTTCATCCAAGGCTATCACTGAGATCTGAGCATTGAACTAGATCCCATGGCGTCTAGTATCAACGCGCAGCTCCACGCAGCCCGCAGGCTGCTTCCCCTTCCTCTCGCCTTCCTGCTGCTCCTCGCCGCCACCAGCGCCAGCGCCGCGCGGCCCGTCCTTCACGCATCCCCCTCCGCCACGCGCGGCGTCGCCCGCCGTGCACTCGCCCGCACGGATTCCGCCGTGTCCCCGCACAGGGTGGAGCGCCGAAAGCTCTTCAGCTGGGACGGCGTGACCGTGGATCAGATCATTGCCGGCAGCCTGGGCACGATCGACGGTCCAGAGGACGACGAGGTGACGACGAAGATCGTGGAGATATTCATGAACGCGGGGTACAACGTGATGGTCATTCAGAGCGCCCACTCCGTGCAGGGCGACCCGGCGTCCGCGCAGGTGGAGGTGTGGCACTTCTGGGATAACTCCGAGTTCACCGTGTATTACAAGCAGGGCCCGTTCTCCGTGGAGAATCTTGGCAATGGCGGGTATGAGAACTGGTCGTTCGGAGGCAACTGGCAGCGTTACGGCGCCGATGAGAAGGTGGTCGTCTTCTCCTAGATTAGTTACTGCTGTAGCGTACTTAGTGCTCCTAGAGCCTGGGGGTCAGATCAGATCAGACCTAGCGGATGTGATGAGGTGTTGAGCTGATGCTGCTTGATGGTGTGCTTGCTGCTCATGTCCATTTCACTGGTTTCTCCAGTGTGGTGTAGGTGGTTCATGAGATTGGTGTCCTGAGGATTCTTTACTGTGTGCTTCAGAACTTGACATGGTATCCCACCTATGGCTGACTGGAGCACGCCTCCATGTTGGTTTTGTCCACATGTATGAAAGCCAAGTTCCATATACGGTACCGTATTCTCAGCACACAGCAACACGGCTCCGATCCGACCATGAGAGTAAAAATCACCAAAGCAGCATCTGCATGCAGTACACAGAAGCAGGCAACGCAACTGAGCCAGCCTGGCGCAAAGTCACATCACATCATCATCAACAGCCGCATGCGATTTCAGTCTCAGCTTGCCGAAAAGCAACCCCACCCCACTAGGTTCTCTCACTTTCAGTGCAGAGTCCCTACGACCACAGAAATGTCTGCAAGGGGTGAGTGGGCGGTTTGTGCAATATACAGGCTTCGTGACTGTACAAGGCAGAACACGAGATCATTCGAATCCAACCGGCACGCCTAGCTTCTCACTCGCAATCACAAGAGCCTTGTACCTCGATCCCATGCCCACAAACGACCTCTTGCCACTGCTACCACCACCATCTTCCCCAGAAGAATCACTCTCACCCTCACAAGCCCCATCATCAGCCGCACGCACTCCCATCTCCCCCTCCCTCTCCACTCTCCCCCCCCCCACGCCCTCGCTCTCATCGTCCTCATCGAGCCACGGGGGTTCCCCGTCCCCCACGAGGCGCCAGTACCCGTCCCTGAGAGCCTCCGCCTGCTTGTCTGATGCCACTCGCAGCAGTGCCTCCACTCGAAAGTTGATGCCCAGCCGGCCCAGTAGTTGTGATTGGGTGATGGGGCCGTAGGCTCGAGCTGGCACTGTGAGGAATGCGAAGGAGAGAGATGACACGAAAGGGGAGAGAGGAGAAGATTCAAAATTTCTCTTTTGAAAGAAAACATGAACGGATTCCTCAAACAGGCTTAACACATGTGACTGAGTGATGGGGACATAATTTGGAGAGGGCACTGTGAAGGAGAGGGGTTGAGTGGGGAGGTGAAGGGGACACAGGTAAGATTGGGCAAGGGGAGAGGGGGAGAAATGGGCAGCCGCAGCAAGGCTGTGTCACTGCCAGCAGGTGAGCACTAGCAGACGTGGCAGCAGCAGGCATGCACGCGGATCATTGGTGTGCGACTGGAAGGAGAGTGAAAGTTCAGCAGGAATATGAGAAGGGGCAACGTCGGGACATGAGAGGAGAAGGTTCAACCAGGGGCATGAGAGAAGAAGGTGTGGAGTTCTCATTGCGAAGATCCCAATGTGAAGATTCCAGTGTGAAGATTCCAATGTGAAGATCCCAATGTGAAGATCTCAATGTGAAGATCCCAATGTGAAGATCCCAATGTGAAGATCCCAATGTGAAGATCCCAATGTGAAGATCCCAATGTGAAGATCCCAATGTGAAGATCCCAATGTGAAGATCCCAATGTGAAGATCCCAATGTGAAGATCCCAATGTGAAGATCCCAATGTGAAGATCGCAATGTGAAGATCGCAATGTGAAGATCCCAATGTGAAGATCCCAATGTGAAGATCCCAATGTGAAGATCCCAATGTGAAGATCCCAATGTGAAGATCCCAATGTGGAGATCCCAATGTGAAGATCGCAATGTGAAGATCCCAATGTGAAGATTCCAATGTGAAGATCCCAATGTGAAGATCCCAATGTGAAGATCCCAATGTGAAGATCCCAATGTGAAGATCCCAATGTGAAGATCCCAATGTGAAGATCCCAATGTGAAGATCCCAATGTGAAGATCTCAATGTGAAGATCTCAATGTGAAGATCCCAATGTGAAGATCCCAATGTGAAGATCCCAATGTGAAGATCCCAATGTGAAGATCCCAATGTGAAGACCCCATTGTGAAGATCTTAATGTGAAGAAGTGATAATAAAAATTCCCATTGTACATATCCCATCATGAGGTGGTTAATAAGAATTTGTTAAAGTAAACTAGAAATCCCCTTTGTCAATGGAAAGTTCCAATGTTGAATCAGAAGTTCTGGAGGCGGAGAAGCACTCACACTTGGAGTCAGTGACGGCTTGGCGGAGGGCGGCAAAGTCCACATAGGCACTCAGATCAGCTGTGCCGGGCGCATCCAGCACGTTCACAAACTCATGCTTGCGTATGGCCTGAGGGAGAGAAACGGGAGACGGTGCGTGAGTGAGGGAGGGAGGGAGAGGAACGAGAGAGTCAGAGTGAGGGCGAGTGAGAAAGTGCAAATTCATGGCCTGAGGGGAGAGAGAGTGAGTGAGGGAAGAAGAGGAGAACGAGAAAGATGAGGCAGTGATAAGAGGGGATTCAAAGGTCACCTGAAGGCTGTCCGATATCAATCTGTCCTCCCCGTAATCCACTATCAGCGCCGCCCCACCGTCTCTCGCCACCCTCTCCGTGATCTGCAGCGCAATCTTCACTGCTATAGGACAAACTTCCACGTGGGCGGCTGCCGCCCGCTCCTCCAGTGGGGCCCAATGCATGCGAGGAAGAAGACAAAGAGTGCTTGCCGCAGTCGGCCCCGGGGAAAGGATGAAACGGAAAGGGTAGTCGGCAGATGGATGGCCACTGGTGTCCTTTTGTGAATGGCTCAGGTTGGAATGGGCTTCAGATGGATGGCCTTCTTTGTCCGGTTCTGCCACATCAACCAGTTTCTCACACCACCCTCTCTCCGTTTTCTGCCATGCCATGCAATGTCAAGCCAGCGTGATTACATACAATGCCGTGTCCAGCCAGCGTGATTACATGCAATGCCGTGTCCAGCCAGCGTGATTACATGCAATGCCGTGTCCAGCCAGCGCAATAACATGCAATGCCATGTCCAGCCAGCGCAATAACATGCAATACAATGTCCAGCCAATTCCATAGCATGCCGTATCATGGCACAGAAGACCATGCTTGGTTATGACAGCAAGAGATAGCATGAAAAAGGAAGAGAACCTTTATCTGTGACCGCGGAATATCCATCTGATAATGCCTGCTGACCACACAGGCTCACTCGCGATTCACGACTTGCAAGCACAAGCTCACAGGTGCGTGGCATCAAGGAGGTAAAGGGCACTGGCGCCCACGACACACATCGTGCATCAACTCACAGGCGCCCACGACACACATCGTGCATCAACTCACAGGCGCCCGCAACTCACTCTCACAAGCATTCACTACAGTTGCACGCTCCCTTGGGACTGATGGACTGGTATGCAGTGAAGGCGTGTATGTATGCAGTGAGCATTGGAGTGGCGGCTCACTTGGAACTGGTGCACGGGCAGGGCGTCAAAGAACTCATGTGCGATGAGGATGGTGGGCACTGAGAGGGGGGGGAAGAGAGTAGGGTGAAGCAAAGCAGTCAAGGATAAGCAACGGAGAAGCAAGGAAAAACGGAAGTTTTTTGCTTGTTTATTATGTTTGTATGTTTGTTTGTTTGGATTTGTATGTTTGTTTGTTTGGGTTTTTTTTTTCTTCTTCTTCTTCTTTTTCTTCTGTGCATGCGTGGGGGATGGAAGGACGGAAGGCGCCATGGCAGTATCTAATCAAGTCGATTGCAACACGCACATCTCACCTCCCTCAGGTACGTCCTCCAGAGCAGAGTGCCACGTGACTGCGGCGCCACTCAGCCCCGACACTCCCTTCCCTGGGAATGCCTCCTCTGCTGCCGCTGATTCTGTTGATGGTGATGGTGATGGTGGTGATCGTGGTGATGGTGATGATGGTAATGACGATGGTGATGAGGAGGAGGAGGAGGAGGAGGAGGAGGAGGAGGAGGAGGAGGAGGAGGAGGAGGAGGAGGAGGAGGAGGAGGAGGAGGAGGAGGAGGAGGAGGAGGAGGACGATGATGAGGAGGAGGGTGATTGTGGTAGCGATGGTGCCGCTCCAGATGGTGAGCCTTGGGGCGCAAGCTCGCCTACTGCTGCAACTGCTGCTTCACCTGCTGATGCCCCTCCGCTACTGCTTGCCTTCCTCTCCTCCGCTCCCCCACCATCTACCCTCCCCCTCTGCGCCCCCCCATCATCCGCCCTCCCCTCTTTTGCGTCTGCAGGGCAGCATTTGAGGGCGGCCCACTGCAGGCGCCTGAGAGCCGGGCTCACCTCCACCAGATGTACCTCCACCGCCCCGCTGAACGGCGTGAACTTGGCGGACGACTGAGGGGCAGGCGAGGGGGGGAAGGGGAGAGTGCAGGGGAGGTGGGGTGATGAGCTGGAGCAACAGGCTCACCTCCACCAGATTCACCTCCACCGCTGCTCTGAAGGGCGTGAACTTGGCGGACGACTGGGGGAGGGGGATCAGGAGCGCGGAGGGGGGAAATAAGGGATGATAGGGGACCAAATTGGAGCCGTAGACACACCTCCACCAGATGCACCTCCACTGCCCTGCTGAAGGGGGCAAACATTTGGCGGACGAACAGAGGAGGAGGGCAAGGCCGCAAGGGCAGTAAAGAGGCAGCGGGGAGTACAGAACTGGTGGCCCAACACCAGGAGCACCTGCACGTACTCTACTGCAATGGAGGCTGTGAATTCAGCAGGGAACAGGGGGGTTTGGGGCGAAAAAGGCAAGTTGGGAGAGGCACGGGCACGCACGGGGCGGGAGAGGGTAAGCAACAGTGAAGCGTGAAAGGGAACCAACGGCTTGTACAGTTTCCTGTACACCTGACAACGATCCTTACACTGATGTGGACGCCTCTCCCAACCGCACTGCACCTTGTGACACAACCATTACCAGCAAGGCAGCATAAAAGCAGACTCACGCGCAGCAGGTGGGCCATGAGAGGCCTTTGCCTGCCTGGGCTCAGCTCCACTAAGTGCACTGTAGAGGGGTCGACTCAGAACTCAACCGCACTGCACCTCGTACCACCACGACCACACCACTCACGCGCAGCAGGTCGGCCATGAGAGGCCTCTGCCTGCCTGGGCTCAGCTCCATTAGGCGCACTCGAGGGGGCGCTTGAGTCCACTCAAAACTCAACCGCATTGCACCGTGTAACACCACTATTACATAGGTACCTTTAAACAAGACTCATGTGCAGCAGGTCGGCCATGAGCGTGCCCCTGCCCAGCCCCAGCTCCACCAGTCGCACTCGAGGGGGGCCAACACAAAACTCAACCGCACTGCACCATGTAACACCACTACCACCACCAAGTTAGCAACCAACAAGACTCACACGCAGCAGGTCGGCCATGAGGGTGCCTCTGCCCGGCCCCAGCTCCACCAGTCGCACTCGCGGGGGCGCTCCCAGCTGCTGCCATGCCATCATGGCCCACACCGCCACCATCTGATGCGCGGGAGGCGCAGGCAGGCGGGGGAGCAGGAAGAGGGGCAGGGAGAGGGGCAGGGAGAGGGGCAGGGAGAGTGCAGGGACAGGACAGGACAGGACAGGACAGGACAGGACAGGACAGGACAGGACAGGACAGGACAGGACAGGACAGGACAGGACAGGACAGGACAGGACAGGACAGGACAGGACAGGACAGGACAGGACAGGGACGCGTGCACACAGTGAGCAGAGGGCAGTCTACAGGCACGGTTCATGAGAATTGTGAGCAAGCACATGTACCCAAGCACCCATGCACCCAAAGCATCCAATGTGCCCATGCATCTATGCACCCATGCATTCATGCAGTCGCCTATGCACCACCCATGCACCCACCCACTCATCATGCACCATGCATGCACTCATGCACCATGCACCATGCACCATGCACCATGCACTCATGCACTCATGCACTCATGCACCATGCACTCATGCACCATGCACCATGCACCACGCACTCATGCACCCACCACATCACATGCGCACCTCGCCGAACATCTGGCTGATTTCAGGCGACGTGATGAAGTCGCCCTCCCGGCCGAACACGTCCCTGTGCATGTAATACCCGCCCGCACTGCTGCTTGTCAGCACCTGCATGGGAGAGTAGGAGAGTAGGAGCGGGGTTGAATGTAGCGCCTGTAAGCATGTAGTACCCGCCCCCGCTGCTGCTCGTCAGCACCTGGGATTGTGTGCGGGGGAGGGGGGGGAGAGGGAGGGAGGGCGGGATCCACACTTTTGAGGCGCATCACATCACATACCACCCCAGCGTCGCGGCACGCAACGCTACTCGCCTGCTCCATGTAGTCGGTCATGCTGACAGGGCCTTGAGACGTCTCTAAAATTCTTGAGACGTCTTTAAAAGTCTTGAGACGTCTTTAAAAGTCTTGAGACGTCTCTAAAAGTCTTGAGTCGTGTCAAAAGCTTTTATCAAAAGCGCAACTCGCCTGCTCCATGTAGTCGGCCACGCTGATCGGCCCGCCGCGAAAGCGGATCATGGACCGAATGTGCTCCACCATTGGCGATGCGCGCTCGCTGCTGCCAGTGGACTGGGGGAACCCCTCCTGCTGCGCCACGCCATGCTGCTGCTGCTGCTGCCTCTCGCTGCTGGACTGGGGGATTCCCGGCTGCGCGGCGCCATCCTGCCGCCGCTCATTGCTGGGATCCTCATACTCCTCCGGTGCGCGTGAGGAAACAGCGAGGGGAGTAGTAATACTCGCCTCGTTTTTGCCCGACTCGCTCGAGTAACGACGCGAGGCGAGTATTTCTCGGTGTGCGTAATTCTCGCCATAGGCCGACTCGTGACTCGTCCAGAAAGGTGAGTATCTATTCACTCGCCGCGAGTAAAAAGACACTCGCGGCGAGGCAAGTACTCGCCTCGCCAGGAACATCTCTTTCCAGGAACACGAATTACTGTGTGCGAGTATTCAGCCGCGCCCCCCCTTGCGCGTATGTGGCGCTAGCGTCCATACGCTCAAAGCTCGGCTGAGCCCTTATCATATGCTAGAAATATCCATAGCCAAGCGTTTAGGAGACCAGTGTCGTAGCAACAACGCTCAATTCAACAACTCTCAATTCAGTTCGCCTGTGCGATCATGAATCAATGTTGCAGCAGAGTGGGTACAGAAATTGGAGGGGTTGGGTTAGGTTGAGAGAGTAGGATTCGGTAAAAGTGGCTGGATAGAAGCTAGGATCAAAATTCCCTTGTTCAGCTCTTCACCACACACCAGAGCCCAAAACCGATGCATTTTCCCACACCCTAGTTTGTGGGTAATTGGGGTGCTGTCCCTGATGTTGGAAAAACACTGCATTCCCGTTCTTGCTAGGTAAATCAGTGCACTGCTGCGAAACGCACTGCTCTTTCTAGGGCGCTTACACCCAGCAAGCACGCGCGCTACAAGCCGCGGTGCCGGCGAGCAGCAGCGCGGCGCGATGAAGTTCGACGTGAACGCGCTGCGGTACCTGTCCAAAGACGAGTTTCGCGTGCTCACCGCCGTCGAAATGGGCATGCGCAACGTACGTCCGCCCGCCCTAACGCTAGCCGCGCACACGACTTTTGAGGCTTTTGAGATTAGACAGACAGCAGTGTTGATTCGACGGAATCCGTTTACCAGCGCGGTTCGAGTCTGGCGAGTCGAAGCCGATTCGGATCTGTAGGTGGCTTTTTCGTGTTTAGGCAGCACCCGGAGCCTAAAACGTAACGGTTCTTGTGTCCAACAGGTGCCACAGTCTGTAACCAAACGCCCCTTGCGCCCTCATCGCGCAGCACCTCGTCAACCTCCATGATAGCCGGCAGGACGGCCGGCAGTATGGATAGACGGCCTGGTAGACGGAGAAGCGAACACCGTCATCGCTGCAGACCCCATTTTAGGCCGTCCAAGCCAGATCCTCCGCCACTTATCCTTTCATTCTCTGCCACCCCCCGCATCCACTCCCCCCTCTTCCCCAACCCCTCCCACTAAAACCCACTACTCAATCTCTCCACACCCTTTCCCCCCTTATCTCTCGCTCCACAAATCCAGCTCATCCCTTCCACCATTGTTCAATCTGCGTTCGCTCGCACTGCCTCATGCCAATCCCCGTCTCTCCCCGCTGCCTCCCCTCCCCACATCCCATGCCCTGCCCTGCCCTGCATGCACACGTGGCAGCACGAGATCGTCCCGTCGGAGCTCGTCGAGCGAATCGCCAGCCTCAAGTGAGCCGCCTCCCCGGACACCTCCCCTTACTCCTTCCCACCACTAATCCCGGAATGCGTTTGCGACCTTACCTTCTGACCAATCATTAAACCCTGAACCGCTCTTGAACCCGGTCTCCCCCACTTCCCCTTATATCCCAATCCGCGCTCGACCCTTTTTTACAATTGACTCTTTTTCTTCTTTCAACCTCGTTCAAGCCCCCCATTCGCCATGCCCTCGCCTCTGCCCCGAAACCCTGCCAAAACCAAAACCTCCGTCCTCCCGCACCTGTCTCGCCTCGCTCACTGTGCCGCTCCGCCGTCCCCTCTGCCCCTCCTCTCCCTCACCCCGTTCCCGTTGTCCCGCGTCCCTGCCAGGCGGGGCGGAGCGTACAAGGCGCTAAGCACGCTGCTGAGGCACAAGCTCGTGCACCACGACTCCACCAAGTGTATGTGTCACCCGCCCGCCTGCCGTCCTCGCGCCCTGCTTGCTCTCTCCTCTTCATCCGCTCGCTCCTCTCCTCTCTCCTCCCTCCCCTCAAAGCTGCTGAGGCACAAGCTCCTGCACCACGACTCCACCAAGTGTATGTCTCACCCGCCTGCCCTGTCTGCCTCATCTCCTCGCCCCCTGCTTGCTCCCTCCTCTTCGCTTTTTTCACCCAATTCACTCCTGATTCCTCTTCTCTCCGCCTCCCAATCCATTCCCCACTCCTCCCGGCCAGACGACGGGAACCGGCTGACGAATCTGGGGTACGACTTTTTGGCCATCAAGGCACTCGTCAACCCAACGACCCTCACTTGTCTACCCCACTCCTCCTGCCCCCACTTTTCCCCCCCGGGGCAGACGACGGGTACCGGCTGACGAATCTGGGGTACGACTTTTTGGCCATCAAGGCACTCGTCAACCCAACGACCCTCACTTGTCTACCCCACTCCTCCTGCCCCCACTTTTCCCCCCTGGGGCAGACGACGGGTACCGGCTGACGAATCTGGGGTACGACTTTTTGGCCATCAAGGCACTCGTCAACCGCGGCACCGTTGCTGGTGTGGGGCCGCAGATCGGCGTCGGCAAGGAGTCCGGTAAGTGGAGGTGGGGAACGGTGAGGAACGGTGGGGAGGCAAGGAGTCTGGTAAATGGAGGTGGGGGGGAGGCAAGGGGTCCGGTGCGTGAGCATGATTGAGGAGTGGCAGGAGTCCGGTGAGTGGGTGGGTAGGTGAATTCCCTCCCTCCGGCCCTTCATCCTTCTCTCCCCCCCTCCTCCTTCCGGGGCAGGCGCCAACCAGAAGGTGGAGAGGAGGTGGAGGGCGTGATGGTGATGAAGCTGCACCTTCTGGGTGACGTTTTAGTCAACTCAAACTTTCCTCCCTTCTCACCCCTCCGCTCTTCCCTCCTCAGACATATACGAGGTGGAGGGGGCGGAGGAAGAGGTGCTGGTGATGAAGCTGCACCGTCTGGGTAATTGTTTAGTCAACTCAGACTTCCCCTCCCTCCGTCCCCCCCCTGCTCCCCTCCCTGTCCTCCCCTCTTCCCTCCGCAGACATATACGAGGTGGAGGGGCCGGAGGGCGAGGTACTGGTGATGAAGCTGCACCGCTTGGGGCGCACGTCGTTCCGCAACGTCAAGGCCAAGCGCGACTACCTGCGCCACCGCCGCGCGCACAACTGGCTCTACCTCTCTCGCCTCGCTGCTCTCAAGGAGTTCGCCTTTCTCAAGGTGTGCTCTGCCGCGCCTCTTAATGGGCATGTGGCTGTGAGATTGCTTGCAGTGATGTGCCGTTGACCATGTCATGTAGTGCTGTAACATTCACTCACCCCACCTCCACGGTCCACCCATTCTGCGTGCCCTGTGATGTGTGCTCTGCCCTGCTGCTCGTGTGCTGTGCTGTGCGGGCAGGCGTTGGGGGAGAGGGGTTTCCCCGTGCCGGGTGCAGTGGACTGCAACCGCCACTGCGTCATCATGACCCTCGTCAAGGCCTTTCCACTGTAATCATTGTGCCATCATGACTCTTGTGATGGCCTTTCCTCTGTAATCATTCCCCTCATCACGACACAGCATCCCGCACACGTTTCCATGCTCGAGGTTCCTTTAAAAGCGTTTCTTACATGCATTGCGTGTACAATCGACCTCTTGCTTCCTCCTGCTCAAATCGTCTTCCTTGGCCAAGTGTCTTTCTCTGCCTGTCGTTCTCAAACCGCCCTCCACTCACCCCATTCGCTCATCCTTCGGCACCCCAACCCCCTCCCTCCTGTCTTTCCCCCCAGCCTCCATCCAGTGTACAGCTGGTGTTTGCCTCCTCATCGTTTGCCTCCACCTCCTCTTCATCACACCCCGACCCCCTCTCCCCCCTCCCCTTCCACCACCCCAGGGTGCAGGTGCGGGAACTGCAGCGGCCACAGGTGGTGTTTGACCAGGTTCTCTCCCTCATCATCCGAGATGACTTTTGAGTCGACTCAAAAGGCAGCGGCCACAGGTGGTGTTTGATCAGGTGCTCTCCCTCATCATCCGCCTCCACCTCCTCCTCCTCGCATTCCCCCCCCCCCCCTCCCCCCAACCCCCTATCCCCCCACCCCACAGAGTGCAGGTGCGCGAGCTGCAGCGGCCGCAGGTGGTGTTCGACCAGGTGCTCTCCCTCATCATCCGCCTGGCGGCGGTGGGGCTCATCCACTGTGACTTTAACGAGTTCAACCTGCTTGTGAGTGTCTGAGCATCTCAGCTTCTCAGCGAGTGTCTTAAACAAGTTGAACCTTCTAGTGGTGATTTCAATAGCGCCTTTCAAGTGATTTTAACAAGTATTAACAGAGAACTGGCGGTTCATTGACATTTGCAGTCACACATCTGAACCCCATTGGTCAATCCTGTTGCAATTTATGCACATCCATATTTGTGCTTTGCTTGACACGGCATGGCATGGCATGGCATGGCATGGCATCAGGTGGATGAGGAGGAGAGGATAACAATGATCGACTTCCCTCAGATGGTCTCCATCTCCCACCGTAACGCCAAGATGTAACGCGCTCACCCTCCCATCCCCATACACATGCGGTCATGCACTCAACCCCTCACGCGCATATCAATTTCCTTCTGATTGTCTACATGCACGTCTGTGCCTGCTGCATTTGATTCCACTACATTCCTTCATTTCCCCCTTCGTCTACATAAGACTCTCTGCAACATTACATCACTAGTCATGCCACCTTCTCTCTGCGGCCCCGTCACGCACACCCACCAGGTACTTTGAGCGCGACGTGGAGTGCATCTTCAAGTTCTTTGGCCGCCGGTAAGCAACCCCGGAAATTACTGACCCCCCCATCTCTCTGAATCCGATTTGTCTTGAGCTCCGTTAACAAACTCTAACCAGCTACTTTGATCGCGACGTGGAGCTTATAATTCTAAAGTTGCTTTCAGCACTTTCTCACTCACTCTCACATGCGCTGCCTTGTCCTATATCCTGCCCACCTCCCATCCCCGCCCCATACTCAACCCTCCCACTACTCCTCACCTCGCCTCCTCCACCTCCCCCTCGCACATTCAGCTTCGCCCCCAGGAGACCTCAAGACCCAACCCTCCACCTTACCCCCCCCACTACCTCTCCTCTCCCTCCCTCGTTTCCCCCAACCCCCCAACCTCTCAACTCGCCTCCTCCACCTACCCCTCGCAGCTTCAACTTCGCCCCCAGGAGACCTCAAGACCCAGCCTTGGAAGTCGCTCTAGCACTGTCAGGTGTGCTTTCTCCACCCTTCCCTTCTCTTCCCTTTCCAGCCCTTCAATTCTGTGCTGTCTAACCCCTCTGCAATGCCCTCCACTGCGCTTCCCTCACCTGTTTTTCCCCCTCTGCCCTTTTTTCTATAATTTTTCTGCGTCTACCCTCCACTCCAAATTTGCTACCATCTTCCCTCTTGTCGCATCATCTCACCACCCCTGCACCACCCTTCACCTGCCCTTCCGCTCTTTCCTGTTCGCTCACCTCGTCCCGTGCGTTCCTCACCGCCTGCATCCCTCTGATCCCCTTATTTCGAGTCAACACCTTCGCACCACACTGCATCCTTTATTCTGAACGCTCGTTTGTACCTCTCTACTCGTGTTCTCTCACCAGGAGGACAGAGAGGCAACAAGGAAGAGAGAGAAAATGGTGCAAGGGAAAATCAGGATGCGGACAAGGCAAAGAAAGCGGAGGAGAAAGAGGAGAAAAAGGAGAACGAGGAAGAGGAAGAGGAGGAAGAGGAGGAGGACGACGACGAGGAGGGTACATGGAGACCTTCCTTTTCAGCCATCAAGTCACTGGTGGAGCGAGCAAGAGAGAGAGCAGAAGATGGGGCAGACGAGGAGGGTGAAAGGGAGGAGGAGGGGTGTGTGAGAGAGGAGGGAGCTGATTGGGACGAAAGCAATGGGGTGAAGGAGGGGATTAGTGCGAATGCCGGGGCTGCTGAAAAAGGGGAAGAAGAAGCAGCAGGGGAGAGAGAAGGGGCAGCAGAGGGCGAATGGGAGGCGTGCAGAGCGGTGATTCAGGCACTCATGCTCGCTGCTGGACCCTCAGACAGTGCTGCTGGTGGTGCTGGTGGTGGTGGTGATTCAGAGACGGGGAGCAGGAAGGAAGAAGTGGCAGGGAGGAAGGCGGAGAGGAGAGGGGGTGGGAGGAGGGGAGGGCGGAGAGAGGTGGTGGGGGTGGTGACAGGGACGGGGCCTCTGGACAGACAGCTGGCAGCCAGTGGGTTCAGCATGCAGAACGAGGCTGAGCTGGAGCAGGTGAGTGCTGAGGTGGAGCAGGTGAGTTCTGAGTTGCAACAGGTTGGTGCTGAGCTGGAGCACATGAGTGCAGTAGGGGGTGGGGAAGAGGTGGCCTTTGCATGTTTCGCGCACAAAACTGATCTTGTCAGTTGGCAAAAAAAATCGCAGGAGTAAACTGTGGGAGCTGTTGATTGAATGATTCTCATCTTTGTTCTCATTTGTCAGATTTGAAATCATGCTGCAAGTCACATAAACGAGAAGATTCCCTTGTTGCTGGTGGGTGAATACACATGGCCCCCTGTGAGCGTATGTGTGTCTGTCACATGTGTCTCTCTGTCTCTTGGCTCAGCCCTCAACCCTCCCCTCTTCCTGCATCCGTCCCCTTCCTCCCTCTCTCGTGTATGTCCCCTTCAGTACATGGAAGAGTCACAGTGGAGGGAGACGAGCCACTTGGAAGGCAGAGAGAATGGTGCGGGGGAGGAGCGAGACGAGGAGGAAGAGGAGGAGGAGGAGGAGGATGAGGGTGAGGATGAGGAGGAGGAAGAGGATATCAGTGGAGACAAGGAGGGTGAGACTGCTGATGAGGGTGCAGAGGAGGAGGATGAAAGTGATGGTGACGAGGAGGATGGGGAGGAGGGCATGGAAAAACTCACACATCCAGCCACACATGTTGGAGGGGGGAACGGGGTGAGCAGGAGGGTGAGTGCGCGTGCAGAGCAGAAGCAGCAGAAGCAGCTGGAGAGGCAGCGGCAGCAGGCAGCACAGGCGGTGCGAGGGGGAGGGGTGAGGCGTGCATCTCGCAACGCCAGCAAGGACAAGGGAGGGAGGAGATCGCGCCACGTGTCCAGCCGAGCGGGGATCGATTGAGAGGAGGACATTCCTACAGTGGACCGATGTGTGTCCGGCAGTGGGTACTTGACTGAGTGGCATGGCATGCTACTGTGTGCTGCATCTAGCGCAGGCAGATGCTGCTTTGCCTGTGTACACCACGTGAATGTACCGCAAGTGGCTTGGAGGTGTGCACCATGTGGCTTATGTGGGGAACAGTGTCAGGGTCTAGAACACCTGCCACCCTGTTCAGAGTTTAGATGGTAGCATGTGCAGCATTAAGTCATATATAATAATCCTTATACACAATCATGGGCACCACACCAGAACACCATGAAGATCCACCATCTACACCACACTGAAACCAGTGACATGGACATCAGAGAGAGCCTACACAAGCAGCAATAAGCAGCATCAGCTCAACACCTGGTGGTCACATCTGCTAGGTCTGTATGAATTGAACTGACCCACAGGTTCTAGGAACCACTGAAACAGCAGTAAATAAATTCAGATTCAAGAGAACACGACGACCTTCTCATCCGCGCCGTAGCGCTGCCAGACGCCTCCGAACGCCCAGTTCTCGTACCCGCCATTGCCAAGATTCTCCACGGAGAACGGACCCTGCTTGTAATACACGGTGAACTCGGAGTTATCCCAGAAGTGCCACACCTCCACCGCCGCGGACGCCGGGTCGCCCTGCACGGAGTGGGCGCTCTGAATGACCATCACGTTGTACCCCGCGTTCATGAATAGATCCACGATCTTCGTTGTCACCTCGTCGTCCTCTGGACCGTCGATCGTGCCCAGGCTGCCGGCTATGATCTGATCGACGGTCACGCCGTCCCAGCTGAACAGCTTCCGCCGCTCCACCCTGTGCGGGGAGACGGCGGAGTCCGCGCGGGCGAGCGCACGGCGGGCGACGCTGTTCGCGGAGGGAGATGCGTGAAGGACGGGCCGCGCGGCGCTGGCGCTGGTGGCGGCGAGGAGGAGCAGGAAGGCGAGCGGAAGAACAAGCAGCTCGCGGGGTGCGCGGAGCCGTGCGTTTGTAGCGGCCATCGGAACCTTTTTCGATGCTCAAATCTCAGTGAAAGCGGTTAACTGCTCAGATCTTAGCGATAGATTGGAAGGAAAATGGCAGCAGTGGAAAGCTGAGCTCGCGCGAGGATGAGATGGTTAGAAAGATCGACTCGAAGACGGAAGGGAGAAAGGAAGAAGCGAATACGGAAGCTGTGATGACTGTGTCGTGGCTGAGCGTCTAATATATAGGACGTCCGAGAGATAATGGAAGATCGGACTTCCAGTCGCACTCAGACACGTGTGCGGTTTGCGAGTTGCTTGAGCCGCCATGACCATCCCTGCGAGCGCACTCATTCGCGAAGCACGCGTCGGGACCCTGACGTGTGGTGTGGTATACGCTTGGACGTGACTGATACGCGACGAATTAATCGCGATTCTTCAGTGCAACAGACTGCGGTGCGGGCAATACTCAGGGTACGGATAACTGAGGTAGGAAAATGGTGACTCTGGAAGGGAGTGTGTGTGATCCGTGTGGTGGTGGTGTGAGGTGAGGAGGCGAGGTGGAGCGTGTCGTGCGGTGGAAGGAAGTGCGCTCTTCTTCCTGGATATCTGGTTGGGCGGGTTGGTCGCTTCCCTACAGACGCAAACAAATTTCTGGCTGTCCCTTTGTTGGTCTGTTGGTCGGTCGTTTCGTCATGTGTCTGCCCTTCAGCGAAATCGGCGAAGGAACTAGGACGGTTTGTCGAAAACGAGCAAATTTCGCCTAAATTTGAAAAGCTGTGACGGTGTTCAAGTTTTGGCAGGGTAACCAGCATCGCAAGGCTGTCGCCAGAAAAAACTGTTTTCAGGGGTCGGGCATGTGGTTGAAGCCGGTTTCAATGTGGTTGAATACCTCACTGTGAAACGGTTCTCCTTAAGTGTTGGTAAAAATAAATACTGGTACATGTGTTTCAGATTTGCCGGTGCCTGATCAAAATATGGTAAGTATAAAAGTTTGTCCTGGAGCTTCAGGAGAAAGCATTTGCAAGTCCATGAGATATCACAACAGTTATCAGGGTAAAACACCCTTATGGCCCTTACTATAAGGGTGGGTTTAGGTGATCACCCTTGTTTTTAAAACTTGTTTTATGAGGCACCCTTAGCCGAAAAAGTGTTCATTTTGTTAACACTGATTTTTAAGACAGGCCTGGTGTACTCGCCCTTATGACAAATACTAGTGTCGCGTACCATCCTGGTGCGATTTCACGCAGCGGGGGGTCGGGGGTGCTAGAAAGGCATAGTGCCGGCGTTGCGGAAGCTTGATTGTAGAATAAGTAGCAAGAGGAACTTGCAACTGAAATGATTCATAACAATAGGATGATTATGAAATGACAGAGCAGGGTATTTATCTTGAGCAGCTAACCCCTTCAGGATGGTTCTATCCACACCAACAACGCCACACCAATAATTCTACCCGCCAATAATTCTTACCCTCCAATAATTCTAGACTCCAATAATTCTGACCCTCCAATAATTGTACAATTATTGGAGGGCTGAGAGTCTTATAAAGGAACACTACAGTAAAACCTAACAGCATTAGTATCATCTTATGTTTGTATATTTAACACTCCCCCTTGCTGTAGGTTTTACTGAGGCGTGACTGAATGGAGGATACGTTGGAATTGACGATTGAATTTGTGGTAACGGCGTTGATTGCGGCGGTGATTTCGGTGGTGGCGGTGATCACGGCAGTGACTGTTGATTGATCCACCCTGCTAGGGTTTCGAACGTTCCGTCGAGAAAGTGTCGGCGGGAACCATACTTGCGACGGCTGCACGATCCAGGCTGAGTAGGCGCACGTCTCGCTTCTCAGGTGATTCCAGCAGTGCTACGCCCTGGGTCGCAATTCTCCCCGCAATCTCTCGGTTCTCGCTCAGCAGGGGTCTTCCAGACTCGTCATTCAGGCTCATTCTCGACAGATTGTCTCAGGGTTTCTCAGCACCTCCTCCCGTTCGGTTTCTTGTTCATCGTTTCCTGCTGCTGCTGCTGATGAGACTATGCCCGATTTCCTTTGCTATCGCGCGACTGCTGCTTTAGTCGCCACGGATTTGCTGCGCCATGGCGCGATGTCCTTCAGCTGCGCGTCTCACTAGCGCTCGCCATGTCATGGCTGGTGCTCGGTGACAGCAGCGCACGTGACGACCTGTAGCGCCGGATGCGCGTTTTCTGAGGCTGCGGCCAGATCCGCGACTGCTGCTTCGGTCGCGCGGCTGCCGTGACCTCCTCGCTTGACAATCCGCGCGCTGCAGCTCCTTGCGCGCGACTGCTGTTCATGGCGCCCGTGGCGATCGGCAGCAGCGACTGACTGCAGCAGCATGCGCGCCGCTGCATTACCTCACATGTGGCGGCTTCTGCTGGTGCGCGCCCTCCCCTTGCCATTTCGGGCGACCTTGTGCTCGTGTGGCAGCATCTGCACTGCGACACTTGGCTCTTGGCAGGTGCGGGGCCTTCTCACACCAGCAGCTTCCGACGCCGCACCGCTGCAGCTGCGCGCCTACTCTGTCGTGACGAGGTGAGTTGCTCTTCTCCGTGTAACTACCACTGCTTGCACCTTGACCTCACTCATGTGTGTTTCTTGCTATTGATGTACTGCAGCACTGGCCGTGCTAAGTCGCTTGTTACTGCTCCCACGTTCTCTTGTGATTTTCCTTGCCCCCGCCCATACCAGCTAGCGAGCGTGAGCGGCTGCAGCCGGCATCGGCACCTGGCACTCTGGCCCACACGTCTGCAGCTCCTGGTAGCGCATGGCTGCTGCTCCTGGCGGCTGCACGGCTGCTACTTCTGGCGGCCCACTACTGCTACTCCTGGCTGCGCGCGACTTTCTCCTTCCGACCGAGGTGAGAATGCTTAGTTGACTCTTGTCAGTTTCACCCATGTTACTCTGTTACTCTGTGCTACTTCCCATGACCCTGTGCTGCTCCTCATGACCCTGTGCTGCTCCCCCTATACTAGGTGAACCCCGGAGGCAGCTGCAACTGGTACGCAAGCACCTGGCGGCTGCATCTGCTCCTGGCGGCTGCTTCTGCTCCTGGCGGCTGCATCTGCTCCTGGCAGCTGCTTCTGCTCCTGGCAGCTGCTTCTGCTCCTGGCGGCTGCTTCTGCACCTGGCGCCTGCGTCTGCAAATGTCTGCCAACGGCACCCCGTGACTGGTGGCAGCAGCATCACCTGGTCGCTTGCAGCAGCTCCCCTTGACGCCCTGCAGCACCTGGAGCCCTGCAGCACCTGGCTGCAGCAGCTTTCCCTGATGCGCTGGCCGCTTGCACTGGTGCAGCTCCAGCACTGGGTGGCAGCAGTATCAGCAGCACCTGCGTCACTTTGGTGAGCAGCACCAGCAGTGCCTGTCTCCAGTTGTCTCCCCCTTTTTCTCCTCTCATTGGAGTCATACTTTTGTATTTAGTAGACGTCAGCTACCTCTTGTGATTCCCTCTGTCTGCTTGCCTCATGTTGACTCATGCTGATGTTTCGTCTCCCCCTGAAACCTGCAGGCATATAAAGTCTTTAGGAACGGCCGCTGTAGATGGCGAGTGGTTGTGACCAACCAGCAGCAGCGACTGTCCAGCAGAATATCTGATGGCTGCTGTTGTTACTGATTGCAGTAGGTCTTCTCATGATGATATGCTGACTCTTGTGATGACGAAAATGAAAAGATGGTTGTGAGATGAAATCCTGATTTGTTGCACCCCAAGATACTCCACACCCACTCCCCCTCTCACTCGTGTGTTTGGAGGCACGCACATGCGTGAGCACGCACATATCACCAAACACATGAGTGAGATGTGTGGAGTTACGTGATGCCGTGTTGTTCAGCTCCCCTTGAGAAGCCCGGACTTGAGAGTGCAGCTCCAGCAGCTTCAATGTGAGTACTGGGTGCAGACGGTGCTACATGTGAAATAGGTTGGAGACCGCACAAGTGGCTGCAGGTGAGATGTTGTTTCGCTGTGAGGGGCTTGGTAAGATGATCCGCAGCTTGCTGAGTTGTTGG